TGTTTTTCTTCACAAATAGTATTTTTTTGCGGCATTCCTTGTTTCTTCTCTTCCATGTATTAACCTTTCCTTTACGTCTTTGCTCTTTGGTCGGTTGTTTTACTCTCATTTTTGGGTGGATTTGCCACTTTCCGTCTTAACTGCCACTTGCTGTTTCACTATAAACCATAATATAAACTCAAAAAAAACTTACATAAAATTTTATAAGTAGAATTCGTGAAACTTTTTATTAAAAATAAGTAAACAAAAATTAAAATCAATAGATTGAAAATTTTCATTGCATAAATTAAACATATAAAATTATAAAAAATTTTAATAAAATTTGATATATTTATTAAATAGATATTTTTAATAAAAATATTAATAGAATTTTTATCATTGAATAAATATTGTTCAAATTTGAATTATAAATAATTTTTTTAATAATTTTTTTTACATATTATTGATATTCATAATGAATTTTATTAATCTATCAGTTCAAATTTTTTATCAAAACTTTTATTTACTTATTTTTAATAAAAAATTTTACGAACTTTACCTATAAAACTTCATATAAGTTTTGTCCATATCAAAAACTATTGCTCAAGCATTAGATCTCAAATTGTTCCAGCCTCGTATCGTAAACTTATTGTTACTTTAATAAATTTTGGCTTAGCAAAAAAAAAAAAAAATGCACTCGAGTTTTGAGTTCAATCTCCTCATGCAAATAGGTAGAAAATATTTAATAGTTGTCTTAATTAATCAAAGAAATCTTGTTTCCATTGTAAACTAAAAATAAAAAATTTTAAATTTTGAATTCGAGTCTCATTATATGTTAATTTTAAATAAATTTCTTAATTTGTTTATTGATTTATGCATAAATATTGTAATATTCTTATCATTTCACTACTACCAATTTTTTAATTAGATGGTAAAAAGTTTTTGAATACGTTATCTTGCCGAACTGATTCAAATAGATTTATTTATGTCAAATTTAATAGATTTATATTTTTAAAAAAATATTTAATTATTAGAAGATAAAACTTGAAACCATAATATATTTTCTGATTTATTAGTATGTAATGAGTTATTAAATTTGTAGAGAACTTTTAATGAAGCCTTAATTTAGTGATCAGGAAGAGGTTCTAAAATTCGGAGGTCTTATATTCAAATCTCACTGTGTGTAGATTTGATTATCTAATTATGTTGTAATTTATTAATTGATTATTTAGTGATATAAATATAATATTTGATTATAAAAATTATATGTAATTATTTTATTTTATATCCATCTTAGAACCGGGTCTTAAATACCATTTTTTTTTAAATATATCAAATATAATAAATTTATCATGCATTCAATTACTACTAAAATTCTATATAATATAATAAATAAGTAATATCTTTTGATCCCAACTTCAAAATTTACTAATTGGGTAGAGGAAAACTTTCCATAAATAATGAAATAGTTTGGTAATGGAGGTACATGCATGCAGTGGCCAAATGCAAAATGGTTAGCTCCAAGATCTGGAAATCAAGAAAATTTGAAAGGGAAATTTGTCTTGAGCACATCCAAAATTTTTCTGAACAAATTTTTTAATTTCTTAATCATTTCATTTACTGTCACTATCAAATACTCGACCACAACCTATAGCCAATTAATATCGAGCACTCAACAAACATTGATTATAACAAATAAATAATCTAAAAAAAAAAAAAAATCATGAATCCAACATTCAGAATAGCAGTAGTCTAACAGAAGCAGAAGAGATGCTTCCTGCAGCCCAATTACTAACGAAACGAGTTTTGTTTTCCTTTCCCTGGGTAAACTAGATGATCTCTGGAATCCCAGAAAAAAGTTTTCAACATCAAATTAAACTACAACAAGACAAAATAAGAAGAGAATCCCCACCGTTAAACTGTTTTGTATAGAAACATTGAAACAGGTATATAGAAAACGAGTATCGATCTCTGCATTTTTCAAAGGGTCTTCACTAGTTGTACTTTTTATCCTGTTTTATATATCTGTTCACTCGTAACAGATTGTTAAAGTTTAAGCCATAAGGTCAAAAACTGTTTTGAAATCAAAATGTTTCTTTCCCCTGTATTTTGGGGATTGCATTTTTTAGTATTTTAAAAATAAAAGGTCTCAAAAAGTAACTCATCCTATATATAAATTATAATAAAAATAAGGAAATGAAAATATTTTTATGCAAGAAAATGTTAATGGGTGTCGAGACACTGGTTAAGATGACAATTAAAAAATTATAATTAATTTATTATAATTTTTTTTAATTTTGTAAAAAAAAATGCATCAATCTTTATAAACACTTATGCTTAACAAAATTAATGGTGGATTTGAATCTAACTGTACCTAAAATGAGGTGTAGTTAAGTTTCAAAAACCTCCAGTAAAATTCAAACACTAAAACCAGCGAAGTAAGTTTCATCATAGGAAAAAACTTCTGTTAGACCTAAAAGATTCGGTGAAAATTTTTTTTAATTGTAATTACAGTAATTTTTATCAATGTTTTTAGTTTTAACGTCCATCCAAATGGCTCGTAAGAATAATATTTGAACAAGTTTTTTTGAATTTGGTTAACAAAACTAAGGTAATTTTTTTTTTCTGTCCTTCAATTAGGAACAACTAATTGAAATGTCACATGAATTACTATGTCATTAATTCATTAATTAATTATTAAGACTAGAAGAGCTCTATCTGTGTGCTTGTCTCCTTTCTCAAGGACTATACAACACAATTACTCATTCACTTTTTCTTGAGAGGTGTCCAAATTAATTAAAAGATAAGATTACGGCCCCCAAAATCCTAGTATAATTAATAGAGAAGTGGGAAATTTTCAATTTTCAGAGGTTGTAATTAAATTGAAGAAGATGAAAAGGGGAGGTTAAAAGGACATTACAAGGCAAGAAGCAGACAAAGGGCAGCAGTAGTGTTCCTGGCAGAGCTGAGCTGAGTGCCCCACTGCCACTGTTACTGTGTTTCCTCTTTTTTTTCTAGCTCAACCCTATCACTCTACTCTACTCTACTCTACTCTACTCTAATACCACTTCTTCTACCACTGCTTCTGCCATTGTTGCTGCTCTGCTCTGGTTTTTCTTTTTCACTTGTAACTATAAAACCCTATGTATATTCTATCAGATCATATATCCAGGTTTTCATGCATGTCAACTACTCCCCGTACATATTCATGGACCATGACTCTGTCTCTGTCCCATATATATTTGTTTGCATATATTTTTTTTATGAGTTTCTGTTTTTCAACTTTTACTTTTATTTAATTTCTATATCCTATTAAATGCACATAAATTCATCTGAATTTTAGTAGTAATTGCATGCATGAGAAATTTATTATTATTTTTTTGCCCAAAAAGTGTGTGATTGAATATTAAAAAAGTAGCTAGTATGATACCTTGACCTTCCAATACATTTGTTTCACCTGACTTAGTAATTTATTACCAGTCTATGTTACATAAGCATTTTTGTTTGCTCATTGTGAAATTTTCATATTATATATATAGGATGATGTTAAATTTTTTGGATTATAAGAAGCATTTTTCTGTAAAGGAACCTGTTAGAAATATTTTTTGGTTTAGAAGGTAAATTGATTTTTTTCTTTCATTAGAGATTGTTAGCAGATAATCAAAATTATTTTTAATTTTTGAGTTGACTTAACATATACAATGTCACGTCAGATGGGTTATATCATTATTTTACCTCAAAGACTCTTCATATTTCGCTTATAAATAGAGAATTATTTATCTAATCCATCTTTTTCCTTTACTTTCTTACTTTTCTCTCATTTTGATCTCTTTTGTCTCGATCTTTGACTTGAATATCGAAGTCTAAAGACAAGAAACGCCCCTAGCTTTTACTCTTAACCACTCTTTTTTTCTTTTATGATTTTAAGATTTTGGCTTTCAACTTTCGACACCATCAAAACTAATTTTTAAAATTTCAAATAAATAAAGAATTAAGAGCTAAGAGAGAAATTCAACTATTTAAATAAAATTAATGTGTCAATCATTAATCAAATGTTTACCTATTCAATAAAGAATTATTTTGAACTAAAATTTTTTTTTTTAAAAAAAATTCAACTTGCCTTTTAAACAAATAATTTTTAAAGCAAATTTTTGGTTTGAAAATGCACAAAAATCTTAAACAAATTTAATTAATCCAAAAAACACATTTAAAATTTTTATACTTTCAAAACAATAATCAATTTAAGGCTACAAACACCCCTTACCGTAATGAAAGTTTTAAAATTGAAATCTTGAATTTAATTATTACAAAACAAAACTTACTAATATTAGAGTCACCATTATAAATTCATGATACGGATTTTACTGTAGCTGACAGCAACTAGTACAATAGTTCATTGTTTTTCCAAAATTCTATTTTAGGGTCAGCCGATTGCCCATTATATCCAACTGTGTGGTAATTGGACAAGATGAACTAAGACTGGATTATAGTGAACTTCTTCTGACAAAATCAGATATTGCTTCAATTTTCTTTTTCAAATACTAAAGTACAGTACTTCTTAATTAATACTACACCAAACCTACTTTTAATGCCTTTTGTTTTAATGCATAACTTTGTCTTAATTACTACTATGAAGTATGAATTGAAATGAAAATCTCCATTTTTGTTTCCCATATCATCAGTTAATCATGCATCAAGATTCAAGAACAATCTATATCTAAATTTTGTTTCAATCTAGTTGTGTTGTGTATCTCTGTATTCTGCCAGATCAGTTTCAGATCATCTATACCTTTTTTGTCTCATATGCCTCTCTTTTTCTCTCTCTTAATTTCTTCCTATTCCTTATTCCAGTGAGATCTAATTTTTCCTCATTTTCCCCCCTTTCAATCACTGTGGCTTTCATGTAACTCAATTTAATCCAATTTCCACACCAGATCTACCTAAAAAAAGAAACCCAACTTTATATATATATTATATATAATTTCTAAATTCCTCCAAAGCGTTCTTTGATGAATATCACAAGACCCCATTATCAGCCCCATGTCTCTCTTTTTCTCTATCTATCCCATGCATGAAACCAATCAATTGAGTATCTTTGCCTCTGCTAAAGGAAACTGAAAAACCTTGAAACAAACCCACAACTTCGTTTTTTTTTTCCTTGCCATTTTTCAAGTTTTTTTTTTCTCTGTTGTGTTTCCATGATGTCTTCTGATAATCCTCCTGTAAAACCAGCTAGTACTAAGGAAGAAAACCAAAGCAGTGGCAACCGGAAAACAGCTTCAACAAGGCCACAAGAGCAAGCCCTAAAGTGCCCGAGATGTGACTCTTCCAACACTAAATTCTGTTACTACAACAACTACAGCCTCACTCAACCAAGGCATTTTTGCAAGACTTGTAGGAGGTACTGGACAAAAGGTGGGGCTTTGCGTAACGTACCAATCGGTGGAGGTTGCCGCAAGAACAAGAAGATAAAATCGTCTTCAAGGCTGTCAGGTGACTCCAAAGACTCCACCTCATCTTCAGAGATGGGAGGATTGAAGTTCTTTCATGGCCTTTCTCCAGCCATGGATTTTCAGCTTGGCGGGTTGTCATTTCCTAGGCTTAATCCATCACCGGCTGGTATTTATAACCAGTTTGCTTCATTTGGAGAAAGTACTAACCCTTCTTTCAGTCTTGACCCATCTGGTAGCTCTTGTTCTTTGATGGGGTTTAGTAATTATCCATTATCCTCGGTTACCAGTGGCCTTAGTGGTGCAACTCAGGAGATGGGTTCGCTGAATGTTAATAGTAGCCTTGCCTCTTCAATTGAGTCTTTAAGTTCCATAAACCAGGATTTACACTGGAAGTTGCAGCAGCAAAGATTGGCTATGCTTTTTGGAGGAGAGAATCAAAAGGAAAATAGCACTACTGTTTCTTCAGTTCCACTTGAGAACCTAGCACAAAAGCCACAACCCATTTTGTTCCAGAATCTGGAGGTTTCAAAACATGAAATTTCAGCTGTTGGGAATCCAAGAAAAGGCACAAGCAATGAAACCGCCACGGAATGGTTCTTTGGGAATTCTTATGCACCAGTAACTCCAACTCCAACCACTAGCGGCAATGGCAATGATAATACCACAAGCAACTGGAATGGGGTTCAAGCATGGAATGATTTGCATCAGTACAGCACGTTGCCCTGAAAAGAGAAGGATAAAAAAAGGTAGACCCTAAAAGGAAGATATGGAAAAAAGGGAAATAGAGAAAGGAGTAATATATTTTCTCAAAACCAAATTAGTCTGTTTAAAATGTTTTTCAGATATCAACATGTCGACCTTGGAGGTAAAAAATATAGTTTTTTTTTTCTTTTTTTCCTTTTATTATTTATTTTAATAAGATGTTGAACATTAGGCACTTTATAATTTGTGTTCTTTTTGTTTCTGCCAATTCTTCTTGTTTTGGCACCAAAAAAAAAAAAGACTTGTTTGTGTTTGATATATACTTTTTGATGAAGGGGCTAGACATATATATATATATATATATATATATGTTTCCTTTAGCAAATATATATTTCTACAAAGATTATATGGAGGAGCAAGCAGCTGGGATTCCTACTGCCAATGAAAGGGCCTAAAATTTAGATGAAATTGAAAGCTGTAGCTGGCTCTACGATGACTAAATGTATATGATCAGGGAGATGTGAAAACATAGGATTTGTTCTTAGATAATACACTCAATCTCTCTAGAGATTTCTTTTGTTTTTTTTGGGGAACTGTTTGTGTCGAAGACTTCGTTATACCTTACAATATTACTCAACCTCTTTGGGATCTGTGATGGGATTTTGGACTGATAATAAATGGGACTTAATGGCATATCTTTGATTTGTTTTATGTTCAGTCAGTGTCCAAAACTCTCACTGTCTCAGTGTCTCAATCTCTCCCTATCAGGGAACTGAGTCTCAGGCTCTTCAGGCTGGTGAACAACATTGTCAACATATATATGAAACACCACGGTCGCAGGAGTAGCTGGCGTAGCTAGCCCTTCCTCGCCTAGCCTTGCAGTGTTAAGAGCCTGGCCTGTTTTCCTCCTTCACTCTCTCTCTCTCTCAATGCCTAGCGCTCTTCGTAATAATTAGTTGCAGTGGTGTGATTTGTGGTGTCTGAAAAAGTGATGGTTTGAAAAGTGTATTGAATGAAAGACTGTCAACATTTGAATGAGAGAGAGAGAGGGCAGGGGTGGAATCTAAAGCTTAGGGTTCGTTCTTTGTGTGTTGCAAAACTGTTTTCTTTAGCTTTTTAGGGTCTTGGGGGGTGAGCCCCCTCCCTCCCTGCTAATTGCTACGGATCGGCAATTACATTGTGATTCTGTTTGTGACTGGCGCAAGTGAGAGAAAGGAAACGCTTTGCTTTTTCCCTTCATTGCCTTTGCCCCATCTTCATTCATTGCTTTCACTATTTATATATGATAAAACAATTTGGTCCCACAATCTTACAGTTGCAAAAGATATTATTAACCTTAAGCATTTTTTTCCTAAGTTTTAGGCAAAGCTATTATTTTTTTTCGAATTTTTGTTATTCAATTTTGCATGTAAAAATATTAATTTATTGAATTTAAATTTGAATTTAATTATTTTATGTAATCATCCTTAGCATCATTTTTTTTAAATGTCTAATTTTGACTTTTTTTATAAAAAAAAATTGATTTCCATGGAGCGTGTAAATGGCTAACTTGTTACACATATAATCCCAATCATTCTCATTATGATTTTCACATTGTAGTAATAAATGAATCAACTTTATATATCCAAATCATCCATATTTCTCCTCATGCATTAATCAAGTCACTAGAACATTTTTAACCAATTAGTTTTCCTTCTTTCTTTAGTGGTTTCTTTAATGATAGAACTTAGAGATATAGTTCAGCTTTCTTTCAATTTCTACATAAAATATAGAGTACAATAACAATTATTGAATCCAGTCCATCTCTCTCTAACAAATTCACTTTTGTTGGCTAACTAATATGTGCTGCATTGCTGCTTAAATTTTACAGCCTGGAAGAAAAAGCCACCATTCTGTCTCATTTTCTACACTTTTCTTTGGGCTACATCACCGCAGAAAGCTGTATCATATGTATAATTACATTTACATCTGCCGACCTTCCATCCTTGAAACCCCCCTTTGGCCATTACTCTCTTATGTGCCTTTTCTTCACTTTTTAGCATTATATGTGCAACATTCTATAGGCCTATGATGCCTAAACAAGGCCATGATTTCCTCTAAAGACACCAAAAACTCCTTATTTTGCCTTTGCCAAAGGTCCCCCCCCCCCCCCCACTCTTCCATCTTTTACCATCATGTTTCTGCTTTTCCCTACCAATATTTCCTCATATGCACAAAAGTTTTTAGCAATCATTTACCCATTTGTTTTATTCTCTTGTGTTTTTTTCATGAACATAATAATAATAATCAGATAATTACCTGAACACTATAAATATATATATATATATATATATATTTAACTTGTGGCCGTATAGAGACAGAAAGAAAATGGTTGGCCGAATAAGAAAACTGGTGAAGAACATGAAGGAGCGTGATTAACGTGATAGGATCTCATTGGGAGAAAAAAAAAAAAACAAAACAAAACAACTTTTGTTAGAGACTATTTGGTGAATGGTGATGTTGTGTTGGTGTGTCCTTAGTGTCTCTAACTGTCATTTTTACAACTTACAAACATGCAAGAAGCTCATGAGTCATGAGTCATGGCAACAGTGGGAAACTATCTGCTGATTCTCATCCTCACCCAACCACTTTTGTTGCCTCCCCCCCTCACCTACCCTTTAGTTTTCAACAATTAACAGTTTAATTAAACATCAATCCTTAATTTTGTGGTCCAATTAACACAAATCCAATCCTGTGATCGGTTTGGTTCTTACCTTTTCTATTACTACATGACAAGTACATTATCCAATCAAATGATGTAATGCTTGATAGTAGTTGTAGAACTGGTTTTTAAAGGTATGGTGAACTGATGTTATTAACAGCTCGAGAACAACAAAGGGGAAACTGGAAGTACTGTATCTGTTTTAAGACATAATATAGATATAAGTAGCAATTAAGTAATCAAAACTGTCATCATGACTGAAAACGAGAGTTTTTTTTTTTTTTTTTGTTTAGTCTGTGATTACGTGTTCAACAAAGGGCCTGACAGCCCCACCCAAACGAGAAAATTGTTTTTGCCTCTCATCACTCTTTTTGGCCTCTTCTGCTCTTTGTGTTGGGGTTCAAAAACCAACATCCCTTCCCTCCTTCATATCCCACACCTTCCACCAAGTAAATAATCAAACCATTTCCTGCAGTACTTGTAATCTTTTTGATTAGATGATCGAGCATCACTATGCTTAATTACTTGCCTGCATGGTAAAATTAAACATTTATCTAATCACTGTGCTTAATTGCTTGCCTGCATGCTGGAAATGACTGTCCACCTAGAAAAAAAAAGTAGCTTTGCTGTTCTATGTTATGATTGTAAATCAACTCTTTCTACCCTGAACTAATAAAAGAAAATTAGGTATGTTGATTGCCATAATCAGGGAAAAAGTTAGCCGACATGTTTCATATTCTGTTTTTTGGGAAAGGAAATCAACGTTTGCATCGTCATTCAAAACTTCTTTAGTTATGCAATAATAAATGAATGAAAACCAAATTCAACTTGAGATACTAAATCAATTTAATAAGAATTTTGTACTAGTTTTTTTTTTTTTGGCATTTGACGTACAGTTTGATCTCTTATTATTAGAGTTAAGAATCTAATACTTGACTAACAGATCACATAAATGTTGGTAATTTTTGTAGCTAGTTACATATGAATATAATACTCCTAAGTATGGTTATAATGTGCATAGAGATAGATAAGTGTGGAGTTTTGGCTTGACTATCTTGACCAAATCTTTTTCTTACTATCTCTCTCCTTAGCTGCATGGACCAGATCTCTGTTAATAATCCTTTTGTGAGTCAAGGGTCCTTGAGCTGCTACGGTAGCTGGTTTTGCTGTTCTCACAACCCTTGCAATCTTAGGTGGATCAGATTTTCTTGCCCTTTTATCAGCCAAGGAAGCAGATATAACCATATTGTTCTCTGTTTCATCGCTTCTAGAGTACCTTTTCTTTCTTGTCTCATGGAGAGAATCACTAACTCTTGGCTGTGTAGATCCATGACTCAAGGGACGGCTACTAATTGAGTTTGAACTCCTTAGGATATGGGGTTCAGCTTCAGTCATGAACTCATCATCTATTCTACATTTTCCTTCACTAGGAGTGGCCCTGATCACATTAGCGAAGTCACGAGCTAGCGTACATTGCAACTGTTGTTCTTGCTCTCTCAATCTATCTTCCAGCTCCTTAATCTGCCAGAAAATTATCAAATATATCTTAGTGCTTTCACATTCTATTTCTTCATGAAAGCACAAATAAAATATGCTTACTTTAAAAGGTTGAAATTCGACAAATAGAAATATATTGTAGCATGTTTTGCTTTCAAGTGACCGAAAAGAATGACATTGTTCGTAAGAATTTCATGCAAGGCCTAGAAGGATTGAAGAATAAAATGACATTATCATTTGGAAATCATTTGTAATTTTGACTTCAAAAAAGAGATATGGTTTCAGATAATAAGAGCACTAATATATGCCAGAGAAATAGTGAAGACATTAATCACACCAGAAAAGAGGTATGTGATATAAATGACCTTTTGACGAAGCAAAACAGATTCTGGGTTTTGTTCTCTCTCTTTCAGCGTTCTCTCAAGCTCCTTAATCTGGAAAAGAAACATATAGCAGGTTACACCTTCTATTTGCTCATTGATATTTATAAACTGACACTGCTAAAATATTTGCAACCTTGAGTTGAAGGGCAAGTGTATGGGACTCAGATTCTTGAACTTGTTCTTTTAGCTTATTCTCAAGATCTTTAACCTGTTTGAATCAAACTACTCACTGTCAAATCAGTTCTCTTTTTAAAGCTCCTATTGTTAATAGAACAAGAAGAGCATACATACACATAAAAAGCAAAAAAACAATAATAAAACCATGTCTAAGTAACCTTTTGCTGGTAACTAGCAGATTCTGATTGTAATCGCTCTTTAAGCTTGGTCTCCAATTCGTTGACCTTTAGCAGATAATAGATTCTAGTTAGTACGAATAACAACAGGGCAATATGTCAATTATACTTTAAATTGACAGCAACCTTTAGTTGAAGGCCAGTGCAAATCTCTTCTCTCCCTTTCAATCTATCTGAAAGTTGTAAGGTCTGCTTCTCCGACTGGTTCTGCATGCTAGTTTTCAGTTCCAATTGACCTTCAAGTTCCTCGATCTTTTCTAGTTGGGTTTTGTAAACCTGGTCTCTACCTTTGGCCTTACTCTCTAGGTTCTGTAAACTCTCTTCTAGTTTCCTTAAAGACTCATCTTTGGATTTAGATTCCTGCCTTGCCTTTTCAAGCTTCATAAGAATTCAAAAGTAGTTGCAGTCAAGTACTTGATCTATCTTATAATAAAATAATAGTGATGGAAGCGAACACTTAATTACTAGATGATATACCATTGTTTTCATCTTTTGGAGCTCAATCGTATCAACTTGCCTCTTAGCAGGACCCAACTTAACTCCTCGAACTCGAGTTGCAAAATTCAAGGAGCTCAAGGTTTCACTTAAGTCCCTCTCTGAAGGGCTAATTTGCACAAACATCAAGGTCTTAGAGTCACCCCCTGATAAATACTGGCTACTGTTAGTTGCAATACTGGGAGACTGATTGTTCCAAAATCTAATACCAACAAGACTAACAAACAGAACTTGAATTTAACCCTCTTCAAAACATTACGCTCCGAATCCCCCAGATTTTACCTAATGAATCTTGAAGTAAATGTGTCAACTTCGAGTTCCTGAAATCAAATGAAAGATGTCAAGCACAAGAACAAAAGGGCAAGTGGCTATATAGTCGAGTAAGGTAGACAATCAACGGACCTGTATGGAATATGACTACTTTTTGTTGCTAAAGCATATATGACGTCCCCAAGAGCTGAAAGGGATTTGTTGATATTTTGAGCCTCCTTGAGTCGCTCCCCTTGAGCATCAGTTTTTGCAAGCCTCTCACTGCCTGCCAAATCCACAAGCCAAAGCTTGCTCTTGGTGCATTCACCAGTCATCAAGTTTTTGGATTTTACCATTATACAAAGCATGCTGAACAAAAATAAAAGAAAATTTTCTCTTTGTAAAATTAATGAGGAAAAGGACAAAGAAAATTTGAAAGATCTTCATTCATTTTAAATGAAGTGTTGAAAAATAAAAGAAAGAGTCTTGATACCAGTGGGATCGGCTGCTATGCTCATTCACATTGTTTGACCCAACAGCTCTAGAATTACTTCCAATCTGCAACACATTCCAAACTTCCTTAATATTATCAACCTGGGCTTCTATAATGCCTGCAACATGATGGAACCCTTCAGCAGATTGCTTTATCTCCAGCCTAGCAACCAAACCAAGTGAATACATTAAGCTTTATGTTGAAAGGCAAATTCATCCTTAGATCAGATAAATCACCATTCAGTTTACATTACGTTCAGGATAGCAAATTTCAGAAGTGACTAGTTAAGAATGTAATAAAAAGTACAGCTGTCTCACCTCTTTGATGTCGGTGATGTAGATAACAAGTCTCTAATTTGTTCATTATAAACTTCAAGAACACTAACAGATATGTTATACATAAAATTTTCACTCCTTTCCTTAGCAATTTGAAACAACTGCTCAAGAGTTCTATAATTGACTCCCCTGTTCTGGTCAGTGCCTTCCATCGTAAATGTCTTTCCTGTTCCTGTTTGCCCATAAGCAAAAATACAGACATTGTAGCCATCTAACACTGATGTCACCAATGGTGAGGCATCCGCAAAAACATCAACTGTTACGTCAAAACAACCACTAGCTAAATGAGCATCTTACAGTATTTTCAATGGTTATATTGGAGTTAGTACATAGAATGACAGGTAACTGTTACCTTGATTGTCTTTCGGTGTGTAAACTCGGTCAAACTTGAAAGTCTTTTTGGTGGAGGCACCTGTCAGAATTCCAAGGTCTCCATCTTTTGCTGCATCAAAATCTACAACCTGAGCAAAACCAGCTGATATCTCTTCCGTACTTAGTGGGCGGCAGCGGCAAAAGACTCTTATATTACCTAATATTAATTAAATGCAGGGTAAAAAGTGTTTTCCTCTGTAGTCTTCAATGATAGGTTGCAAAAGATGCATTACTAAACTACTCAGAAGGGAGAAAAAAACCCTTGCCTTTTGTTTCCTGAATTTGATTATAGAGCTCCTTTCGCTTTGCTTGCTCCTCGCTATACTTCACTTTGAGATCCTCACACTGCACAACTGCAAAATCATTCTGTAAGCCATGCAGATGCATAAATGCAAAGTCTAACTGACTAAACGAATTTGAATTAGACCCTACCCAGTGCCTGAACGCCAGTGACCATTTTGTTTAACTTGGGTATTGACTCAACACATGCATGTGCTTCATGAGAGAGCTGAGCATGTTCATTTTTCATTATCTACAGAAAAATCAATAATAAAATGCATTGCAATAATTAATCTCGAGACAACAATAGGTAGAGAAATTATCATTGCAATAAGATAACATCATTACCTTTATTTTCTCTTGTAAATCATTGACTGCTGCTGCCCAATACTTCTTATAATGTTCATAACTGCTAGTAATATTTTTCAAATTTTCAGCTTGTTTCCCCATAGTTTCATCTGGCAAGAAAAGATTTGTTGAGTTTAAAAGGAGCAAGTATAATACTATCCCTGGAGTTATAGAACTTAAGCACCAAATTAGTCAGATATGTCAGCATAACCTAAACAAAGCACCATCACATAGTCTTTTTTGTTTTAGTTGACACTGACACTCATCAGCATTTCTTGCCTTATATGCAGCATTTGTGATCAAGAATGCTATCCTATATCAAGTCAGCCTGTAGGCTATTAGCCACAAATCCTCCCTTACTCGAATTCTTCAAAACATACAAGAATATTGAGGAATGAACAGTTATTTAGCAAGAATGGAAGTTCAAGATGTTATAGAAGAAATGTATTTGCTCAAGTCATTAAACACTGAGAACAAGGAAACAGATTCTATCAGAATCATTGTAGAAGATTTTTTTACTAGCTTCACAATTCTTTTTCTGCTCCAGTCAAAGAATTTGCTTATGCGTGCTTAGAAAATATACATGATGGTTACCTAGCGTGCGTGTTTGGAAGATCTTGTTGTCAAGTTCAATCCTAACCTTCTCCAGCTGCTCATTTGCTGCGGTCAATGACATCCATGCCTCATGGCATTCATGTGTCTTAAGCTGGCACTGTGTAGTGAGCTCTTGTATCTTCTTCTCATATTTATCTGTAACTTTGGTTCTAACAAGTTTCTTCTGCAAGCCCAAAATAAAAGTCTAAATAAGCAAAAAGTTCAGCATTAACTTCTCTTATTGAAAACATCTATTCAGAGCTAAATAAACTCTAACCTGAGCTGAGGAAACTTCTATTTCAGCAGCACAGTTCTTGCACCTAAGGTATTCTTGCGATCCCTGAGCAACTGTTCTTAGATTGGAAATAAGGTTTCAAAATAAGCAGTTCTTCAAACATGCTCCAAAATTAAAATTGGGAATGAATCAAATAATGGAAACGCAAATAACAGTACCTCGAATATTTTGTGCTTTCCTTACACAAATACCACAAACCATCGGGCTTCCAATAACTCCTTCAAACCTCACTGCAATTAGTCCATCCTCCTTCACCAGTACCCTAAAATCAACAACTTGCAATGGCTTATTGGCTTCGACAAGTGAGAAGATATCAAAATCTGATAGTACCTGCCATATTGACACCAAAATTTTAAAATTTCTGTCCAGTGAAATATCACAACACAAACTGAAATGATTCACTTGTAACTTGCCTTTTCTTCTTGCATATAGACATTGAATACCCTCATTCCTTTAGGTCCATTAGTGTTTATGATCTCTGCAAAATGAAGATCAACAAAATAGTCTCCGGGAGGAAGATTATTGAACCGGTACCAGAAGCTCCCATATCTTGCAGACTGATAAATGAATGGACAATCTCCAGCCTCAGTTATATGCTCATTAGTCTGAATAATATTTCCTCCTTCAAAGTAACTATCCCCCAGGAATTTCATACGAGAATCTTCTTCATTTAAAGCCTCTCCTCCAGCATTTATAAACATCACAATTTCATCTGTAAATTGTATAAAAAAACAGAAAAAGATTACAACCTCAAATGAATTATATGCCATTAAGAACTAAAAAAGAAGGCCAAAATTCGTAATTTACTCATAAGAATTAAGTTAATCTACAAAAATAGAATATAATCATTTATAAATAATAAAAGCAACCCAAAAAGTTTGAACACAGTTTCTAAAATACTACGTCTACCTGTACTTTAAGGATTAAAAAAGAACCCGTATATAATTAAATCACCAAAAAAAAGTCTCCTTTTTTGGCAAATATATCAAGAAAAAGAATTTTAATTTCTTTCTTTTACAGAATTTTATTATTGATCAAATAATTAGGAGTTAACAAGATAAAATCTTGAAATTTGACTTACGTGAGCAACTAGATTTGGAAAACCCAGATGGGATCAGCCTTGAATTAGAGTCACAAAGCATTGAATCAGCCAAAGATTCTTCTTCGTCGTCATCCATGACAGAGCTAGGGTTATCTTGATTCAAGGCAAGATCGCATTTTTCCCAGTCAGAAACCCTAGGAATAGAGGAATTGGGGAAAAGGGTTTCGGGCATTTGGAGAAAAGTGTTTAATTGGGCATTATCCATTGGGAAATCAAAGTTTTGGGAGTGTTTGTTTGCCAAGAAAATTCTTGATACTGCTTGGATTCTCTTTTGAAAGTCCGTAAAGAGTAAGAAGAGAAAAAAAAAAAAAAAAAACCAGGGATGCGTCTGATTTTGTGCGGTTTGGGAAAGGTAAATTTTCGAATTTGAATTCCTTTGCCGACCGTTAGGTGAAACTTAGCCGTTAAAAACTTTTTGGAGTGCGTCAAAAGTCTCTTTATAATGGACTCGATAGCCCATTGAACGTGAAATTTTTTAGAATGCATTTGGCTCGGAAAATTTTATACTTTTTTTTAATTTTAATAATGAATATTTAATTTTTACGTTTGGCTTATAATAATTTAATTATGAAACAAAAATTATATTCTTAATAATACTTAAAATTTTAAAATTAAAAACTCATATCTCTTTAAAGTATTTTAAAATTTTGAAAGAAATTTATCTTATTTTTAAATTTAATATAACTGTTACTCTTATGAAAAATAAGTATAAAAATGACTAGAATTTAGTTTAAGATTTTTTTATAAATAATATAAATTTTTTTATTTTGTGTTATAATTAAAATGTTTCATCCTTAAAATGTCTTAATTGACAAAGGCATCAATTAAGGCGTTTCTCATGTTTCTATTGAGAAACGTCTTAATTAATGATTAAGCTTTTTATTTTCATCAAATATCCTAAATGATTATCAATTAAAGTGTTTATGTGCATAAATATCTTAATTGATCTAAAATATAATTTTTAATTGACGATAAATTAAGAGGTTTTTATACATAAATGTCTTAATTGATCATAAATATAAAAAGTTAGATCAATTAAGGTGTTTGTATACAAAAACACCTTAATTAATCAATCGTTATAATTTTTTTTAAAAAATAAATTAACACGTTTTTATCCACATCAATTTTATAAATTAAAAGACTGATCAATTAAAGTGTTTATATTAAAAAATGTCTTAATTGATCAATTATTATAATTTTTTAAAAAAATTATTTAAAAAATACCGTAATTAATCTATAAAAGTTAATGATTTGTATATAAAATATATAAGTTAATGATTTCAATATTATTTAAAGATAATAATTTGTATATAAAATATAAGTAATATTTTATTTACTTCATAATAAATATAATTAAATTATTAAATTAAAAATATATTTATTGATAGTAAATTAGTTTTTATAGTATAACTTATATAAAAATATTTGAATTAGAAAAAAATAAATTTTTTTATTAATGTAATAGACAACTCTCATAACAAATTGATCATTTTCAAAACCATCAATTATAATTATTAAAAATGATCAATTAAAGCATTTCTGTACTTTGATATTTTATCATTTATGAAATATATCAATTAAGGCATTTGTGAATACAAATGCCTTAATTTATTTATAAAATTTTTTTTATTAATTTAATAAACAAATATCATAATAAATTAATCATTTTTAAAATCATCAATTATAATTATTAAAAAAAATCAATTAAAGTGTTTTTGTACTTTGAACGCTTTAATTGATATGTTTTATAATTTTAAAACATATCAATCAAGGCGTTCAAACAACCAAATAACTTAATCGATTAGGAACTTAATATACATATATAAAATTTTGCATGTGCTTTCTCAAATGGAAAGAAGCTCTGCAAACTTTTGTCTTTTTGAAAACTTTAGGTTGCATTTTAAAGTTGAAAAATAAAGAAAAAAAGTTAATTAAAGTTTAAATGCGGGTGGAGCTTTAATGGTGGGTTTCAACTTGGTTGGGACCCTGACATGAGACTTGACTTGTAAAGCAATGTATGCGATTTTCGGTGATCAAGCTGCTTCTGTTCATGTTCACAAGATGTGCAAGGATGGTATTTGTTGGCATGGCGTCGCGTTACATTGGCTTATGTCTCAGGTCCGGTTCAGGCTCCCTCAACAAATACTATACAGTTCTTTCAAGTTGGAAATAGGGTTGGAATGAGGTAGAAATTTCCTTGGCTTAATTAATTAGTTTTGGTAACTTTGATTGCCCTACTAACAAGAATCAAAACATTTTTGGAACGATGTGGTGCGAGTAGCCTGCATGCCAGGCCTTGGTCTCATGGGTTGGCCTGCAAGCTGGGCGGGCGTTTTAGCCTCGTCTCCTAGGCCTTGAGCGTAAATACCCGTCAGCGTGCCTGGTCTGCGGGCCTCAACCTCTGGCTCGCGTGCTGGTGTTCCTAATGTGCCTGGCGCACCCGTCCAGGGCGTGACATTCTCCCCCATCTGATTGTGCAACGCCTTCATTGCGTCTTCTGCATGGTACTACCTAATCTGATCCCCAAACTGCCATAAGTCCTCTGTTGGTTCCCAGCTCATCTCACTGTCTGGAAGTCCCTTCCAGCGCACCAAGTACTATTGTCTTGGTTGATAGTTCTTCCGTCTCACCTCCCAGTCAGCTATGATGCTGTGGACCTCCTTCTCATATGAGACCCTTGCTCCCAATGGTGCACGCTTTGACTCTGCCCGTCTTAGATCTCCCCCATCCTTATGGAACGGCTTGAGCATGCTCACATGGAATACCGGGTGTACCCTCAGCTTGGATGGCATATCCAGCTTGTAGGCAACCTTGCCTACCCTCTTGACTACTCGAAAAGGTCCCTCATACCTCCGGACTAGGCCTTTATGTAGCCCCCTGTGGCGCACAATGAGATGCAGCTTCACCAACACCAAGTCTCTAACCTGGAACTGCACATCCCGCCTATTCTAGTTTGCCCACTTCTTCGACCTCTTGGTCACCTTGTGTAGACAAACTCTGACTAAGTCAGTTTGCTCCTGCCATACCTTGGCAAACTTGTATGCTGCTGGAATCGACCCTGTATAACCTGCAGCAATCGAACAGGGTGTTAGTGATTGTTGCCCTGTCATAACCTCAAATGGGCTCTGGTTCGTTACCTCGCTCTTTTGCAAGTTGTAGGAAAACTACGCAACATATAGCAACTTTGGCCAATCTTTTTGTGTGGCACTCACATAGTGCCTGAGGTAGACCTCCAGTAGTTCATTCACACATTCTGTCTGCCTATCTGTCTACGGATGCATGCTGGTGGAAAAGTTCAAGTCTGATCCCAACAGCTTGAACAACTCAATCCAGAACCTGCTCGTGAAACGCCCATCTCGATCACTAACAATGGTCCTCAGCACTCCCCAGTACTTAACCATGTTCTTCAGGAACAATCGAGTTGCCTCCTCGGCTGGGCACTCCTTAGTTGCTGGAATGAAGATTTCATACTTGGAAAACCTGTCCACCACTACCATGATGCTTCCAAACCCCTCTGTCTTGGGTAGACCGACTATAAAGTCCAGAGAAACACTCTCTCATGGTCGCTCTGGCACTTGCAATGGCTTCAAGAGATCGCATGGTTTCTTGAGCTCCACCTTGTCCTGTTGGCACACAAGACAAGTCTTCATATAGGCCTCCACATCATCCCTTATGTGCAGCCAGTAGTATCGATCCTTGATCAACACCAAGGTACGGCTCACTCCGGGGTGTCCAACCTACCTTGAATCATGGCACTCTTGTAAAACTTCTTTGCGGAGCTTCCCATACTGCGGCACAAATAGTCTACTGCCCCTGGTGTACAATAAACCATCCTGCACCTAAAATCACCTAGTTTTACCTTGCTGGGCGTACTCTATAAGAGCTTTGGTTGTAGGATCATGCGCAAGTCCTTTCTTGATGCGCGATACCAGTGACCCCTCTAGTTGGCTAATGGCAGCAAGATTAGCCTTCTTGCTCAGGGCATCTGTCACTAGGTTCACCCGTCTTGGCTTGTACTCCATTTGTAAATCAAATTTCGTAAGATGCTTGTACTGGAATAAAATCGATGCACCATAGAGTGCCTTCAATGGCCTGATAAAGCCAACATCAACTAACTCTTTGAGCTACTTCCTTAACTCTTCCAACTCTGGTGGTGACATTGGGTAAGGGGCTCTAGCTGATGGCTTGGCCTCGAACACCAGCTCGATCTTGTGGTCTACCTCTCTCTTAGGTGGTAGCTGGCTAGGCAACTTTACGGGTATTACATCACTGAAGGTCTTCAGCACCTTTAGCACCTCTAAGGGTGACTCGATCTCCTTCTCCCTTGGCTCATCATATTTCAGGGCTGCCAAGAAGGTGTCTTCTTATTTGCTTACCACATTGGCAAATTAGATGGCTGACACCACCCGTGACCTAACTCCAGACCTTCTCCTCAATGGCATTAGGCATTGGCACTGTGTATCCAAGATGCAAACACAATCGATAAAAGGCATAAGAAGGGCGTTAATCCGAACAAGGAAATCTAACCCAATCATAAACTCATAGTCATCAAGGGGTATTACCTCTATGGTTTTCTTATCTTTTCAGTCTCCAAGCTGTAACTCCATTCCCCGTGCTACTCTAATGGCTGAAACTTTCTTGGAGTTCACCGTTTTAATGGTATCAATCCCTTTCTGCACCTTTAGTTTGAGCTTTCGGGCTCCATCACCTGAAATAAAAAGATGTGAGGCACATGTGTTCACCAGTACGCTCACTTTCTGACCCGTAACCATCAGATCCACAAACATCAAGCCCTTTGGCTTGTGGCTCCCCTTACTTTGAACAACATTGGGCACTAATGACCCAAGCTTTGCTGCCCCTGACTCTGGCTCCTCGTCAGACTCCTTGTCTACAGCAGCTAACTTACCCTTTTACGAGTAATTAAGCGCTATGTGGCTCCCTCTACATAGGTAGCATGCTAGTGGCTCTTGGTCCCCTTTTGCTTTCCACTTGCCTACTGGTGGCTTTCTCTCGCCATCTTTGGTTAAACAGTCTCAGTCTCCATCCTTGGACTCCCGATCATGGTCTTTCCCCTTGGACTGCTTCTTTCGGTCCCTATCGTCGTTACCCTTACCCTTGGGCTGAGAAGACTTGAACGTGTTCAGAGGCTTGAACTCTATCGAGGTCTCAACGATAGTCATGGCCTTAGCCAAGTCATGAACTCCCCTCCGTTGTAGCTCATGCTTCACCCACGGCTTCAGCCCATCCATGAAAGTAAATAAGGTATCTTTTTCACCTAGATTCGAGATCTGTAGTATTAGTTCAGAGAATTTTTAGACATACTCCCTTATGTCCCCTTATTGGTTAAGCTGACG